GGATCCACATGGTTTTTATATAGGATCACTCCCAGGCACCTTTCATTTCTGTGGTGTATTTTGTGAGTACAAATGGGAACAGCTGGAGCACATTCTTGAACGGACAGAAGCAACCAGCGTTTCTAAAGGAACAAGCAGCTTTGTCTTCTCCCTCTTTCCCTCAACTCACCCCATCAGTTGGGGAAAGAAGCCAGTGTGAGGGCAGAGTGGGGAAGCCCCAAATTAAATGATTTTAAAAGCCCTGTTGCTCATGAATAGCAATGATAGAAAATGGACAGGTGGCTCCTTATTCAGCTGTTGAGAAAGAGCTCGTAGCAAGGCGTGCTTATTCCTCTTTGTATGTCCTCCTCATATCTGGGCACATACTACCTCTGAACATCAATACTTCACTCAACCGTGATGACTGGTAGCTGGTCTTACCGCCATGCTCTGTGAACCTGCTTTGTCTACTTCTAAGAAGCCACCAAAGCCGGTGACCACCGCAGCCATCATGTCTACTGGCAGAAAATTCCAATATTGGGGTTGCAATCCTATACAATCCTGAGAGTGATATCCAGGCCATTCGTTACTCATGTTCTCCCTGATCAGTTTTGAAAGTACTGTTGAAAAAAGCTCGTGTACTGTACGATGATTTTAACCGTCTATCAAAGTATCGCCTGTTCTTGCATTTGTATTTTGCAATGACCACATGGCACCCTTTCAGTTCAATGGGATTACTGCAGAGCAGTTTCATTGGCTGACCTCAAATTCCAATATTACCACCAAGAGAGAGAAATTCATGTTGAAAATCTCCGTAAGACCCATCTTTTGTCCCTGCCCTTCCAGGTTCTCAACACTCAAAGGAAAGTATAAATGTGTCGCTCCATCTTTTCCTGTCATTACACGGCAAGGGTGAAAAAGGATCTGGATTCACCCTTCATCGTCGTTGTTTAGTCGTTCAGTCATGTCCAACTCTTCGTGAGCCCATGGAGCAGAGTACGCCAGGCCCTCCTATCCTCCACCGCCCCCAGGAGTTGGGTCAAATTCATGTTGGTTGCTTCGATCATGGGTCCCCTTAAAATTCCTCCGCACCATGATACAAATATGGCCAACTCCTTTTCTTTGGGAATCGCAGGTCACTGGACTTTTCCATCCTTCTCATTTCTGCAGCAGCCTATCCAGTTGTTTTTTTCCATCCCCTTCCCCCTCCACCAAAACTTCCTCTCGTATTTACAAATCCGGGGAGCGGGTTGTCTCTATAGCTTATAATTACTTTCCCTTTGCTCCATTTCATTTCCCTTGAGCACCAGCTTAAAAAAAAAGCATTTTCAGCAAACCTTGGAGTTCTCCTGAAAACACGCAGAGCCTTAAATGGGAACAAACCCCCACCCCACCCCCCATGAGGTGTGTATATTAGATTTGCACTTCCTGCGTTGATGGTTGGTGTGTTGGCTGCTACCCGGAATTGGACAGAGTAATAGCAAACCTGGAGGGGGGTAGAAATCGGTTAATAAACCGGTGTTTGGAAGTGACCTGGAAAATGGGAGGTCTTCAGGAGAACGGGGTCTGGCTGTCAGTGGAATTAGAGGAGACAGCTGTTTAACAGAGCCACGGATTATCCAGCTCCTAGGATTCATATGTAATCACCAAGCTTCTTAGATTTCCTTTCTGTGCCCCTTCTCCCCTTCCCTGCTCCCCTGCTGTCACGGAGTTGGGGAAAGAGACAGAGATCAAGATGTGCTAGATTTGTTAACTAAATTCCTTGAGGATGAGATATACAGGATGAATCTCCAAGCCGCTCTGAGACAATGACCCCTCACAACATTGAAAGAAGAAGATGGCCAATCTGTTTGGCTCGGAATGTAGTCCAATCTCATTTGGAGAATTGAAGCCGCGCGGGAGGGGATGAGGAAGGGAATTAAAGACAGAGAATTAAAACAAAGTGAGGAATGAAACAGAATCTCCCGGGTCGGCGAAAACTTGAATGCAGCTGAATTCACTACATTATTCACAGCTTTCGTGAATTTATGGATATTTTTGCAACTGCAGCTATTTTATGACTCAGGGAGACGACGATCTGGGTCTCCTACAGGCCAGTCTCAAACTCTAGCAGGGAGAGACAACCAGATGCTCTCCAGGCATTTCTGGACCCGAGCTCCCAACTGGAGGTCTAAATTCCCCAAGTGAGGAAGAGAACTGCTAAAGCAGTGGTTCCCCAACCTTGGGACTCCAGATGTTCTTCGACTACAACTCTCATAAGTCTTCACCACCACCTCTGCTGGCCAGGGTTTCTGGGAGTTGAAGTCCAAGAACATCTGGAGGCCCAAGGTTGGGGACCGCCTCTAAGGCCATCATGAGACGATTAACCGCAAATCATTCTGCGCAGCTCCTAACAATTCTCACAGGTTCCTATGCTTACCATAGAATCATAGTATCATGGAGTTGGAAGGGGCCTCTAAGGCCATCAAGCCCATCCCCCAATCAAGGCAGGAATCCAAATCAAACCAGAACGGACCAGTGGATGTCCTGTTTTCTATTGAGTGCCTCCAGCGTTGGACTAGCAGGACTAAAGCTACACTTCAGCTGAATTTGTTGTTGTTGTTTAGTCGTTAAGTTGTGTCCGACTCTTTGTGACCCCATGGACCAGAGCACAACAGGCCCTCCTGTCTTTCCCTGCCGCCCGGAAGTAGGTCAAATTCACGTTGGTCCCTTCGGTGACCCTGTCCAGCCATCTCGTCCTCTGTCATCCCCTTCTCCTCTTGCCTTCACACTTTCCCAACATCAGGGTCTTTTCCAGGGAGCCTTCTCTTCTCATGAGATGGCCAAAGTATTGGAGCCTCCGCTTCAGGATCTGTCCTACTCGGCTGCATTTCAGCTGTCAGTGAATTCAGATGGATCTAAACACCACTACATGTCAGCTATTCTACAGAACTGAACACAAAATGTCATGACATGGTGAACTACCAAATGCTATAAAATATTGAGATAAAGCTCAGATACCAAATATTTGGTGGGCCTATCATTTTTTGAATATCCACTCAAGATCAGTTTTTATGGAGAATGTGGGGAAATGTCAACAAACAAACTGGAACAAACAATACCTTTGTTCCAGTTTTCAAGGCAGAGAAGGGGCTGGTTTGTTTCTTTATTAAGTAGCCCCTAAGACATGGGGGGCTACTTAATAAAGGGGGGCTAGGTTGGCAGGAGATGGAACGAGCAACGGGAGCTCCCTCCGTCACATAGATTCAATCTTACGACGGCTGGTCTTCTGACCTTGCAGCCCAGAGGCTTCTGCAGTTTAACCCACAGCTCCACCACATCCCTTTTGTATCAATGTTGCTCTATAAAAACCAGACACTGCATCCTCCTAGTCTCCTTGCAGGGGAATGAATCATGCTTTTCCCTTCCATGGGGAAGCTTTGAGAATTTCAGGGATGTAACAGTCTGGCCCCCATGAAAACCTTTTGCGGGTGACATGGGTGAGCGATATAGGTGGGTCATTGATGGATATGGGCAGGAGAAACACACATATGTGTGCGCGCACACAGTTCTTTCACACGTACTTTCAAATGGGTGCATTCCCCTGTACGCACACACACACAGATAATCAGCCCCTTCCTCCAAGGTTTTCATCCAGACTGGTTGGGAAGACATGCTATCATCATGTGCCTACACGCAATCTTGGTCAAGTTTATTGTTTCCCATGCCGTTACAGATGGGGCAGGGAGTGAGTCGGTCATTCCAGGGCTCGAATGTCCATCCACAGATGGTTAGAACAAATGGCTTCATTGACGGCCCATCCAGTTTTGCCCTGAGCCTGCCAACGAAAGCTTCGGTAACAAAGGAAGGATTGATAACAGGTGGCAGGCAGAGGAAAGTAACAGCAGTAATATTTCCATTTACGCAAAACGTCAACCAGAAAAGCAAAACCATCCATCCTGTGTCACTGCTGTCACAACTGGTGAATTATATCTTATGGCTAGGCGGCTAACGAAGATGAATGAGTGAATGGCACCCATCTTTTCTCTGCGTCTCATATTCCAGGTACGAATATTCATGGCTGGGGAGGAGGGTGAGGGAAATCAAGCTTTCACAGAGGGGCAAAGCAGGGAAGTGCAACCGAAACAGACTGGAATTGGGCTCCTTGGCTTGCAAATCAAGACCTTCATACACACCTTACCGGTGGCAACACAGATGATGTAAACCTTCACTTCAGGCACTGAGATTCTATTTGCCTGGTTGAAAACCTGATATGATTCCCGAGAAGACAACTACAGCCCTCATGATCTCCAGCTGGAAAGCCGTAAACCCACCATCTCCCAATAGGAAATGGCTTTCTGTGTCAATTGCAGCTAGAAAGATATCTTGAGGGGCTTCTCTTGTGTAGCAAGACTCAAAAATCCATCCTCATGCCAGTTCCTTCCTTTCCCAAATCTTCCTCCACCCACAACGTGCATTCCAAGCTTTCCAGTCATTTGCTTCCAAGGTAAAGAAGCCTGAAGGGCCTTCAGGATGAGATAAGAAAGCATGATATCATTGGATTGAATCATCTCCGCGGATTTTGCCAAGTCAGTGTTCTGCAAAATCAGCTAATGAGGTGGAAATATTTTCCATGTAAGCTCGCAAGTCGCATCCGGATTCAGTCAACTTCCCCCACACCTGAGCATCCTCAGGCTAGAAGCATCCTGTGACCCATTCGTATGAGACTAAACCAGTCAATCCAAAAACTGTACTTCCCAACACAATTAAAACTTTGCAGAAGTGAAGCCCCCGGGCCAGCAACGTGCTCAGACTTTGCCAGCATCAACATCTCCTTATCTGACAAAAGAAATGGTCACCAGAGGCCAGAATACTGTTGCTTAGTTACGTCTACAGAAGGCAAATTAACTCATTGCAGAAGCTTCTGACTGCTCATTAATTAGTCCAGCAGTTTAGTGCATACCCCAGGATCTAAACAAGGATCGGGTAACAGCAAGCAAAAAGCCTTATCAAAGAATGCTATCCAAAGCTATGCATCTCACCTGTTTCTCGGACATGATGTACAAATACTTGTGATCTACTGAAAAGACCATATCCCGCAGTATTGGCGCCATATCCACCACTTGAACGATCTCGTACTCAAGGGCGCCTCTGATTGGGCCATCGACGCGGATCTGAAAAATCAAAGAGAGGAAAGCCAACATTGAAAAAAGCTGAATGGTGGGGGGAAAAAAACTTCTGTTATTTTTCTACATTGCATTTCAAGAACGTATTCAACGCTTTTACTCCGTACATGGTGGTGGCACGCAGGGATCCCTCACCACCTCATTTGATCTTGACAATAATACTGTTGAGGCAGCATGTTCGGCCAAGAGATTGTGATTCATACAAGGTTACCAGCGGTGTAGTGGAACCAGGGGCTCACAGGTCAAAGCTCATAAACTTTCAGAGTAGCAGGAACCATGACATCTTCCACAGCTTGTCTGTTCCCCCTCAGCTGAGCTACAATCCTCGCAATGGTTGAGAGAGAAATATTCCCCAGAAACAATATGAGGTTGCAATATCTCACCAGTATGGCAGAACGCCTACTCCCACCTAGTTCTACCCAGATCACCCGAGTGAGGTGAGGCTGAGGAGCCTGAAGCCGAGAGAGGCCCGGAAGGAGAAGACACGAAATCGGGCCTTCTCGGTGGTGGCTCCTCGCCTCTGGAATAACCTTCATCCGGAGATTCATGCGGCCCCTACATTGGGTATCTTTAAAAGCCAACTAAAAATGGATGGTTGTTCAGGCCTTCCCTCCAGTCAATACCTGATTCTTTTTCTTATTTCCTCCTTTATTTATTTTTATTTCATTTTCTTGGTTCTTCACACTTGAATTTTAGATCTATGTAACTATGTGTTTTATTGATTTTTCGTATTGCATTGGAAGCCGCTCAGAGTGGTCGTATGACCAGATGAGCGGAATATAAATCAAACAAATAAATAAAAGAAAATAAAAAGTAGCCAAATAACCTGCAACCCCTTGCCCCCTTTGCATAACAAGGCATTTTTAATGGGCTAAACTGTTGTGAGAAGACAAACGTCCTTGGAAAAGACAATAATGCTAGCAAAAGAGGAAAACAGAACATGAGATGGTTTGACTCAACATAGAAACCACCGCTTTTATTTTGTATGATGGAAGTGAGGTTTTTAGAAGGGAGTTTTTTTTGGGGGGGAGCATTAATTCATAGGGTCTATAGAAACCACTGCTTTTATTTTGTATGATGGAAGCAAGGTTTTTAGAAGGGAGTTTTTTTGGGGGTGGGGGAGCATTAATTCATACCCCCCCAAGTGGCAGCTATTGGACAGCACATCACACTGCCACCCCAATGTCTACTACCATAGGGTCCCCACCCAAAGTGGCAGCTATTGGACAGCACATCACACTGCCACCCCAATGTCTACTACCTTAGGGAGTGGGGAAGAGTCTCTCCCCTCTTATTGTCTGAGCTTGCAATTCAGTTTTCACTTGCTCCCATTCTGCCCCCCAACTGTTCCCCTCCAACCTAGATGGGGCAGGCTCACCAACATCACCTCCACGAACAACTGGGGAGGGAATGCCCAGATCCCAGAAGAAAGAGGTAGTCCTTAGGGGAGGAGAAGCCCCATTTCTCACCAGAGGCACCGAGAGAGAGAGAGAGAGAGAGAGTTTCTCACCAGAGACACAGAGAGAGAGAGAGAGAGAGAGAGAGAGAGAGAGAGAGAGAGAGAGAGAGAGGCATTTTTGTTGTTGTTTTTTCTACTGCACAGCCCATCCCACCCTCAACTCCCTTCCTCTCTAGGAACCCAACTCAGTATTCGTTTCATCACAGGCCTATGGACAGAACCCCTGGTTAGGTAAAACCTGTTGGCCAAACACACATACACATACACACACACACTGCCAAAAACATATTACAACCCCGCTGGGGTTCGCAACCCACAGGTTGGGAACCCACCAGTTAGACGGTACTGTTCTGTACAATGGCAGTATACACCACTTCCATTCTGTAGGAGAAAATGTGTTTGAATGCCAGCTGTTGAAAAACATGTCTGGAAGGAGGCTATCACCATCATGTCCGGCTTGAGGGCTTTGTGTAGACATCCACTGCATGGACCGCCATTTGAAAAAGCTACTTTGGGGGACTAAAAGCCCCTGAATCCTTGAGCCAGCCTAGTCAGTGGCCACCCTAGGAAGGAGAGCCTGGGAGATGTTGTTCAAGAGGGCAGCTTTTCTGAGCTCAGGTATGAAGATAAGTTGGAACTAGATTAGTTTTGGTCTTATCCAGCATCCTCTTCTTGCACACTGTTGTTGTTTAGTTGTTTAGTCGTGGCCGACTCTTCGTGACCCCCATGGACCAGAGCATGCCAGGCCCTTCTGTCTTCTATCTCCCAGAGTCAAAGTCATGTTGGTTGCTTCGATGACCCTGTCCAAACATCTCATCCTCTGTCGTCCCCTTCTCCTTTCCCAACATCTAGGTCTTTTCCAGGGAGTCTTTTCTTCTCATGAGAGGGCCAAAGTATTGGAGCCTCAGCTTCAGGATCTGTCCTTCTAGTGAGCGCTCAGGGTTGATTTTCTTCAGAACAGATATGTTTGTTCCATTCTAAAGGAAATCACATGCCGGAACTCAAATACAAGAATATAGAGAATTGGGTTTGTTTGTTTTTCAATTATATGGTAAAATAAACTGAACACACGCACACACGGACACACACACACACACACACTTATCTGTCTTCAACCTTAGGCACACCCGAAGCCATGCAGATGTGCACCTAACCAACCAACTGGCACGTTCAACCTCCTGTCCCTAAGCCAATCTGGCAGCCCTGAAGGATCCTGACATAACGACATTCATTCTACATCCCTCGAGCCGCTCGCCATTCATTTTTATTCTGCCAGGCAGGTTGCTATTAAAAACAGCCGCCCGGTGCTCGGCAAAGGTCAACCATCAGAGGGACCCTCCTGGCAGCTGTTTGTTTGTTTGTTCGAACATTATCTGGGGCTAGCGGTTGTATTTATATCCACTGAAGTATCAAGACAATTAATATCCTCTCCCGGCAGCAAACAGATGCCTGCGTTCAAGTGTTCCAGCTTCAGGCAGGCTTGGAATGATCTCCTTAATGAGCAAACAATACTATTAATCTTTAAAGATGCAGGCACCGTTTCCATTTATATATATATGGATGGCCAAAAGGGTATTTTTGTGCTAAGCCAGGCCAACCTGATAGGTAGCACCACCAGCGACTCAGGCCAACAAAAGTCTAGACCAGCCATTGTCAACGGGGGCCATATGGCTTCATGGGGCCCTCTGGAACATCTGAAGGGGCCACAGACTTGAAACAATTCTCCACCCACCACCTTATAAGGTTCATTCAGTGACTTATACAATCCCGATCCAGCTTACATTTCTTTCATATTTTGTTTATGGCTCTGGCTGAAAAAAAGTTGAGAATGGCTGGTCTAAAGCAGGGGCCCCCAACCCCCAGTCCACGGCCCGGTGCTAATCCATGGCCTTGGCTGGACCGGGCCATTGAGACAGATCTTCCCGTGCACTCCCCCCCGCATGCCCCCCTACACAGCCCCTTTGCGCATGCATGCAAGTGTGTGCCACATGAGCACCCCCACCCTTTGCACATGTGTGCAAGTGCCCGCATGCTATCTCTTTGTGCATGTATGCGAGTGAGGGGGTGCCGCCCGCTCCCCACACATGGACCCCCCGTCTCCCCAACTGGTTCACGGTGTCAAAAAGGTTTGGGACCACTGGTCTACAGGATCCAAAATAATAGGTAGAACCCTCTGAAGAATCACATATTGATGCTACATAAATGCACTCATCGCCCAGCGTTCATTACGGAGTCGTAATGTGTCCGGGGAAAGAGAGGGCATGGAAATTGTAATTATTTCTATTTAGCGCGGAAACTGCCAATCTGAGGCAAGATGGGGTGGGTGGGTTTGTCAGTGATCGCTTTGTAAGCTGTAAAAGACGCAGCAAAAGCTTTCAGAACGCCGATGCATTTTGTAAGTGGAGGGGGGAAAGAGGAATGGAACCCTTTGCTGCTGTATAGGTCATGACGGCAGACATTCATATCTGACATAAGCCTTCCCACGAAGAAGTCCAAATGTATTCACTGGTGTTTACTCTCAGGTATGGATTCATCTGAGCTTGGAAATGCTCCTTTCTTGACTGCAATGCTGGGGCATAGCTTGGAGGAAGGGGCACACGATGCAAGGAAAGGCATATTGTTGCTCTCAAGTCACTTTTGACGTATCATGAGCCTAATGGGTAAGTTACCTGGAAAGGGTGTACAACCACTGTTTAACCCCCAAATACCTAGGCCTTACTTTGGATCCTACACTTACCTTTATGAAACACTGTCAAAATACAAAGCAAAAGGTCTCCATCAGGAATAATACTCTTTGAAAAGTATTGGGGACCAGCTGGAGCATGCAACCTCAGAAGCTAAGAACCACAGTCTTGTCCCTACGCTACTCTGCAGGCAATGGGGCCACCCAGAGTGTTACAGTCCAGCCCATGCAATACAGGTTGAAATAGCAGTCACGGAAAACTGTAGAATACTTTCTGTACCCCTGGAGTCACCCCTATTGATAAAATCAATTACCTGGCAGGCGTCACACCTAGTGGCATAAGGAGAGAGGCAGCTAATTATTAGCAGCTAATAATCAATGACTCAAAGTATCCCCAGCAAATACGCACACACTCTTCAGCTACCTTCCTGACCTTTACAGATTAAAATCAAGGTGAAGTTCAGAACACCTCTGAATCTCAAAGGAACAGCAGAGAATGCCAGGTCTATAATGCGGGGGGGGGGGGAGAGAATAAACTTCCCCAGATTTCTGTTCATTTTAAGAAATACCTACTCTTAAAATGGAAGGAACTCCCAGGATAATCTTGCCCCCAACCACACGGAGAACTGGGTTAACTGAATGTCACTTAGTAGCTTACAGACCAGCGTTGGCCAAGTGAACCTTAAAAGACTATGTGTGTGCACATGTGTGTTTGTACTGACACTGTCCTTTGTGAGTGCAGAGAAGAACAGGCAACTTCAGGCATATCGAAGACTTGATGTTAGCTGCTCCAAATGCTCTTGATGTTTATTGGGTGAAAAATACCAATATACAGTGGTGCCTCGCTAGACGCTGATAATCCGTTCCACTGAAATCGCTGTTTAGTGAAATCATTGTCTAGCGAAAAGCATTTCCCTATTGGAATGCATTGAAACCTGTTTAATGCGTTCCAATGGAGAAGAATTGT